TATGGCTCTAGGACAGCTCTTGAACAACTTGATAAAATAGTCCCAAGCACTGATGCTAAGATTTGTCTGTGGAACCTTTAGGACAAGTCTAGTAAATGCGGCTGAAATAATGGCTAATATAGGTCTACTAAACCTTAGGAGGGAAAGGTTAGTACTGACCTGCTATGAGCGGTATAAAAGGCTGGATAAATACCTCCCAGCTAGAAAACTAGTGGATGGTTGGAGATGCAGAAGACGTATCCAGATGCAATCTTTTATGCATCATGCCACTAGACTATCTGATGAAGCTGGCCTATCCACCAACCGACAAAACATTCAACGTTTTCATCCCCTTCCCCCTTGGTGTCGCCCAACGATCCCAGACATACACTTGAAATTAGTAGACCCTAATTGTTGTGGTCACTGACTCAAAATCTGTACTACTGGCTTTGCAAAGCCCCGGACCATGGCCCCCCCCAATATCAACACTGTCATCATGGCTTCACATAACATTTAACAACACTATGGCCCCCCTGTAATAATGCAGTGGGTACCAAGTCACATAGGTGTGATTGGCAACACAACTGCAGACTCTTTGGCCCACCAGGGAGGGCAAATTCCACCCACTGAACAGGCTGCAAGCTTTCATCAAGCCCTGGCTATAATACAAAAAACAGAAATGGAAAAGTGGTTTGAGTGCTGGGACAAGTCCCAAAAAGCCTGTGGAGTCTGGGAGCGCATGAGGCGCCCTGACCGCACTTCCCCGTGGTGGAGGCTGTCCAGGCCTGAGCAAGCTATTATAGCACAGTGCAGGACAGGCCACTGTCCTGTTGGCTCATATTTCTCGTGGCTATGGCCAAATTTTGATTCATGGTGCCCCCACTGCGGGGAAGAAGAGGAAACCGTGCCTCATATTTTGTTTGACTGCCCCAAACTTGCTGATCTCCGTCTCGACAGGTCTGGGAAACCCAAAATTCTTGACCTGTATTGCAACATTTATGCACTACGCAAGACAGCAGGGTTTCTGTCCAGGGCTTTTGCAAGAGAGGATTTGAGCCTCTCAAGCCCTCACTCTAATGGAGTTTGATGATGATGATGATGAAGGATAATCCCTCACATTCACTTTGACAAGTATCTAGATCTAAAGAACAGTTAGATTTAAATCTAGATCTGTGTAGAAATAAACATAAATTTAAATAACTGGAATGAAAGATAGTTACACACCAAAAAAAGTTTTTATAAGTGCCTAAAGTGGAAGGAATATAATTTTGTACAGGTACTTTAGACTTTTGAATGTCTGCTTTAAAAAAACATATTGGTGCAAATCTGTTTGACAAATTTGTGAAATGGCTTATTTAAGTAAAAACAGGTTAAATTTTTGTATTTTATTGTCCAAGTTAGACAGAGATTATCAGCGAGTGAGTGAATGTTCAGGGCCAAGGATTTATATTGTAGCTAAATTACAATTATTAGTCATTTCAGGAGAAAAAAATACAGCAATTCTTTGTATAACAAATTTTTATGCTTTTGAAAAACTTTTCTATAAAACAACTATTAACTAGTAAAGGTACAATTCTAAATTACAGTAGTTGTTATTTAAGCTAAAGAAACATGGGGAAAGGAAAGGAAGTTGCAATTGTGATTTAAAATAGTTTCTGCAATTTAAACTAAGAGATTGCAACTTTTAAGAACATGTTGAATTAACCATTTTTTTTGTCTTGACTTATTTTTTTGTATTTACTAGGTGAAGCCTTACAATGTTTATCTGACACTTGCCTTTCCAGCAGACACAAACACGCCAGGCTTTCAGGAAGAACAGAAAAGCAAAGTAATTTATTTGTGTGTGTGTCTAAACATTGCTATTGTTATGTCCTTTTTCTTGAACAGGATTTCATTTCTTTCTGAAATATTTTTCTTTTTTTGCCTTCCATTATTTGTAATGTTCTACTTTTGATTGGTCAAGTCTCTAATATGATGTGGGTGTGTTCTGAAAACATATTTTTCTTCTTTATCTAGCTAACTTTTTAATGCTGAGCTGTAAGCCCTTTTGCAGTCAGTGCCATGGAGAAGTAGCATGCTGTTGTTTTTTTTCTCAGCTGTTCCACACTGCCATACAGAGTGTTGGTTAGACTGGATTTTTGTTGTAATAGGGTTTGTCTGAGGGGAATTAGATAGTTGCATCATTTTAAGAAGATATGATTGACAGTTTTGTAAGAGTGAGTGTTGGGGTTTATTCTGCAAAAGTGAAAATTAAAAGATTAGTGTCCTGTTCTGAGTGGAAAGATTGTTTATTACTCTTTGCAGTGAAGGAAATTAATATGCTCCAGTTTGTTTTGCATGCTGTTTTCTATATAAGGCATTGTTGTAGTTTACTGGTCTTTCTTGTTGTTCCATAGATAACATTGCCATTGATACTCTGTCCATCATTCCATTTCTCATGATGCCAATGTACCCAGGGATTTTATTGTGGTTTATCAGGAATTAAGTTTTCAATTCTCTAGTGTTAGTTGGGATGTTAAATATCAATGCTTGAAGAGTAGATTGTGGGTTGTAAGGGCATGTATTATCTGATGGTGCTTGTATTTTAAAATAAAACTTAGTTTCTTTGTTTGTGGTGCAATTGTGATGCGCTTCAATTTCAGCCTTGAAATTAAAGCAGTAGTCTCTGCAAGGTGCACTTACAAGAGTATATCAAAGTGCTATTTTAAGGAAATACCAAGATGTCACCAAAAGCAGTATTTGTGGTGACTTTGAAGGCAGTGTATTTCTGGATGGCTGATTGGAAATAATCAAGGGTAAAAATAAACTTACTGCTTCTCTACTTTCATTTAAAGCAATTTGTAGTGGACTCATCTCCCCTTCTATGTGCTTTTTGATAGAGGTTTGGATTGCACTATCCCAGGCAGAGATCTGTGTCTTTCTAGTGCTCTAAAATATCAATATGATAATAAAACCCATTATGAAGATTTTTGGAATGGGTGAATGTGATCATTCCAATGGACTTTGATGATGATGTTGAATGTGATAGCATGAAAGGGGCTGAATCCAAGATGTGATGATTCTACTCAGTCTGCAAAAAACTTTCTACTGGAGAGCTCTTATTCCATGGATATTCCAGTCACAGATGTCCTTTTTACATCAACATAGGAGCAACAAGTAAGACTGAAAACTTCCTTGAAATGCAGGGATTATACTCAAATCCTTTGAAAACGCCTTTTAATACTTAAATGCAAGGTATTTTTATACTAAAAACTGTTATAAACTTTTTGTTTTCCTTTTAATATATACACTTAGTTTCTTCAAATGTCCAGTAAACTGTTTGACTGTTAATGTCATGTTGGCTTAGAATTGAATCATAGGATATTATAACTTTTATATAGCTCTACTTTCAAGCTTATAGCATGCTCAGAGCACTTTTGGTCCAATCTCATTTGTGGACCGGTGGGGAGGGGGTATCTAGGAGTTGGTTTTCCGTGCTGCCTTTAGGCGCTCAGTAAACACAACTCTGCCCGATTCGGGTGTCGAACCTCGAGCCCCCTACTAGGTAGCCAAGCTAAGCCAAGTTCAAGCGCACTTGGCCTCTCGACCACGCTTCTAATTCTATCCATTCATATCTGCACACTTCTTGACTGTTTTAGCTGGGTCTGGGTCTAGAGCTATTTTCTAAGAGTATTGCTTAAAACTATTGAATATATACGTTTCTTGTCTTCAAAGCTCTACTGTTGGTATTGATGATTTAAATGTGATTCTTACATTTATTTTTTTTTTTGTCTTTTGTCCTTAGAAACAAACTTTTCTGGTATGATACATTTGGTCTGTAACATTAATGATTTATTAGTTTTTTTGTTTGTTTGTTTTAAATACCCAGTAATTATCTTTTTCAGCATTTGATTTTTATGTATTTTATTTTTTTCATTATTAGCCCATAATTGGTTGGCTGCATAAAAATTTTTTGTAAAAAAAATTAATTATCAAGTTGTTTATTTTACCTTTCCTAATTACCTATTACAACAACTGATTAAATTCATTTTATCTTGTTTTTGTCCTATGTGAGCTTATCTATATTTCGTTGATTAAAACTTTTACCCCACCAATAGAGATAAAAAAATAAGCTTTAGTAAGACAAGAGAAGAAAGGAAAATGTGCTTATGCAAGTGAAAAATTCTGTGAATATTTATACATTTAAATATAACTACTCTGTATTTCAGCCTTTAGAGACAAAATTAATTTCAGAAACTTCAGGTTTATTTTCTGCAGAGAATGTTGCATCAATTATACTGGCAGATACGGTGGTAAGGCAAATATTAATTCTTTCTTCTTTACACTCATCTGTAATTACACAAAATTTAATTTCTGTGGCATTCTGATTTTCAAAATGGTTACGTTCTTAACCATCTGTTTATTATTCTTAGCCAACCCTTTCTCTTGGGGAGTCACTTGGTAGAAGATGGTAGCTTGTGGAGGAAAAACATTGGATCATATTTTTTTCCATCCATTTTTTTAATGATTATATTTTTTTGTGTGTATTAAAAATATCTTTTCTTTTTTTATAGCGAGGTCGATTTTTTAGCTCAATGGGTTTAGATGGTATTATGCTATCCTGCCTGACTTGTGGTTTCTCTCCTGTCACCTCATTGATGGAAGCCACACAACAAGTAAGTCATACAATTATGTCCCATAGAACTATTCTTGAAGTGAAGTTGATCTTTGTGTCCAAGCAGTTTCTGAGGCAGATGGTACAAGACTTACTGAGTCTTCAATGACCTGTTTATTTGTTTTCTAAATTTATTTCTTGTCCTTTCCAGTAAAAAATTTTTCCTTGACCAAGTGATTCACATAATTATTTTGGCATAAAAAAAAACATTTCAACTGTCCTGATTATGTCTATACATTTTAGTTGATGATAATAGTTAAAACTACAGCAAGTCCCTGCTTAACACAATGTTAGGGACCAGAAAGTCTCCTTTAGTGTGACCCTATGTTTGGGTTAGGTATAATCATTTTTTAATAGTAGAGAATGAAATGAAATATCTTTTGATACAGTATACACTTAAATTACATGTAGTATTTTTCCCAGGTTACATATAAAGCATAAAGGAAACAGCTGACAAAACATTGTTTTATTGAAAGAATCATAAATTGTTGCACATAGAAATTTCAAAAATAATTAAATAAAATTTGTACTTATTGAAAAAAAAAAAAGCATTAACAGGTTGTAGCATACATCACGAAAAAAAAGATATTAAAATGGAAACAAAATAAAAATCATATTACAGAGCATCTAGTTTAGATTTTAAATTGAAACAAAGGGAGACATGAACTTAGGCTAGATACATGTGTAGAATGAAACAAAAAAATTGAAGACATACACATGAATTGTACTGCACTGTACAGTAAACATACATATGAGCAAAAGAATTGAAAGTATTCAGATACAAAAGAAAAATAAATTGACATCAGGTACAAAAGTGTATGAATTGAAAAAGAACATTTAGCTTTACAAGGGTACTAAAAAATTCTTAGTTGATAATATGGAGTAGTGAATGTGTAATTTTCAAAAGAAATTCCTTAATAAGCAGAGGTCATAGTTACATTGGTACAGAACAGTATGTAAACAAATTTTCCATTTATCTATCTAAATGTTCCTTGATTACTTTACTAACAGGTAGTGACAATGGGCATATTTCGCATCATCTCACTGTTTTACTTGGATCACTTTGACAGAATTGTGAGGAGATGTAAACTTGATAAAGAAACCAGAAATAGTGAAAAGAAAAATATATAATTTTTATTGTTTTATATGTTGAAAAAAAAAAAAGCTTTGCTGATTTGTTATAGCTGAATATTTCAAGAACACAATAATTGAATTGATACTTTGTAAATAATTTTATTTACTGATATCATTACAATGTTGTATTGTACATTTTTCTTTAATAAATATGAATACACCACTACATATTGATTCTGTCTCTCAAATTAACCCAATAAATATGTTTGAAAGTTTATCTCTAGTTAAAATCCTGTACATTGGCATTTTTTAAGCAATCAAACATGTTTCAATCCAAAATTATTCTTTTGCAAATTTTTGTGACCTTAGTTTTTCTACTATGAAAACTCTGAATTAAAACTCTGCTGCTGCATTGTGCTATACCCTAAATGAGCCTGCAACACTGCTGATCCCAAAATCTATTGGCTCTTACCATTCCTTAAGACACATCAGCTGTGTAGGTGACTGCATTCATCTCACTTCTATGAGATGATTTATAGTCACTTCCAGACTGAAGGAGGCATTATATAAAATTAAATTTTGCACACTTTTTTTCTATGAATAAATATAATTTAATACATAGCAAAAGCACATTAAAGACATTAAAAAAAAAAACAACTTTATAAACATACCTGCCAGATAATGGATATGTCTTTGATTCTGAAAATTAGGAATGAGGGCAGTATTTCACTTTGCAAACCCAGTTGCAACCTACATATATTGTCATATCTAAATGCGACAAAGTCGTTGTCCTGACATATAATTGTGTGAACAATCTGAGTTCATTTCTTCCTGCGTCCAACATTACAAGGCAAGCACTCACCTGGAGCCCCCCAAGGAAAGATGAAGAGGGGAGGGCTCAGGAATACATGGCACAACAATTTGGAAGCAGATGAAATGCATGATGAGCAAGATGTGAGACAGTTGCAGAGACTGGCCCAGAAACAAGATGCCTGGAGGAAGCTGGTTGGTAGCCTGTGCCCCAGACGAGACCACAGTTATTGAGATGATACTTGAATCATATCCTCATTCATCAGTTGTAATTTTTTAAAAAAAGGATTTAAATGTATTTTTGTTCAAAAACAAGGTTAAAGGAAGTTATTGTTAGAGAAATATTTAAGTAAGGTGGTCCAAGTTAAATATGAAAATGTCTAAAAATATATATATATATATCTATGGAAAAAAAAGTAAACCAACAGATCTGTACACTATTACCAAAATTTTGATACCATTTCAAGTAGTGGTTAGAGACTACATGTCAATTGTAGGTTTCGATTTAAATTTTTTCCCAGATCTCTCTCCTGGCTTTACTTTTAAATGATTGCCATAAATTGTAAACACATGGTGGTGCAGTACAAAACTAAAAATGTTGTTGCATTTTGGAATACCTGGGAAAAGAAATGATTTTTTTTTGCATAAATAAAACATACTGGTTAAGTTCAAATAATATGAATAAAAATAATTAAATTTTTTTTAAATGTCAAAAACATCGGAGAACATCATGAATTCCTTAAATGCAGTTTCATTAAAACCAAAAAATTATTGATTAAAAACATGTCAGAGAGTAGAAAACAAATTACACAGTCATCACTGACACATAGGCATCTTGATCCTTTTCAAGTTTCCAAGTCAACAACAAGCGCTGATAGAGTCTGAGAGAGTAAGGAACAAGCAAGATTTTGTTCAACCCTAAATGGACATCTATTTTACTTTCTGCTTAATTAAAATCTATTGACACCTTTGCGTTTGGTAGTGTAAGATGACTGAATTGCAAGAAATACATTTTGAATCTGAGACACCTCACTTCTAGCACCTTACTATTCAGCTACCATACTCCCACAGCAGAAATTATACCAATGACTAAAAATACCAGGACAATGACAAAATTAACAATACTTGGGAAAGGTATTAACTCTTAGAAAAATTTATGGCACTATACAAGATGAAACTGCATAGAGGACACCCACTAATAAGGAGACATACCAATTTTAGAAAAATAACATTACATTGGGAAAAACACCTTTAAGGAATGTCAGAGAATAGAGGGGTCAAAATAATACACCAGCCAAAAAAAAAATATAAAAAGGCAGGATCACAAATAGATGGCTTGATGATGCAGAGGCATCAAAAGTTCTGACATGGACATTTTTTTCAATATCATTATCTATTTTTTTTTTTAACCAACTTACATCTCACTGTATCATTTGGCAAGACAACTGAAAACGTATTCTGTGTTTCTGTTATCACAATGCCCTGTAAGCCAACATGTCCAGGGCACGTGGACTGTTCAACTGTAATTGGGCAACCATGGAAATCAGCTTTCATTAGTTTCTGGGCTGCTGATGACAAATTAGGACTATTCAAGCTGAAGATAAAAGGAACAAACTAAAGTTAGAAAAAAAAAAAGAAGAAGCATTTTTCATTCGAGTCTCACAAATTAGTTTAACTCATACTTAAATTTCGCTTTAAAAAAATAGTCTTACTTTATGCTACACACGCATAGCAGGACTAATAGAGAACAAATTAAATAATCTACAATTAAGGACTAATGGAGAACAAATTTAATAATCTACAATTAGTCACCTGACAATTTTTTAGAATAATGATGAGAGAGGAACATAAGGATAGGTTATTGTGACCTGTGTATTTTTGTTGGATTGAATAATTAACTTAATATTTACACAAATTGTGTAATTTCTCCCCAAAGTGAGTTCAATCCTCCTTGGGGGTGTAGGTCCTGCCAACCCTTCTATGGATCTATCAATGCATTCCAAAACACTACTCGATAGATTTTATTAAATATTATAGGACATAAGTGTTCACCAAGGACTAATGAGTCTCTGACTCTGTTAGATATGTTGTAATTTGTTCTGAGCACATTGGTCACTTTAAATGAAATGTAGACTCTTAGCTTACTACGTTTTCCATATAAAACAAAATTAATTATTACGACTAATTGATTAACTAATTTTTTTTTCTTTATTTGTGTGTTGTCATTGCAACAAATAATTGTGCAAAATTTGAAATTGATCTAAGAATGGGAAATGGGATAAATAATGTATAATTTTTACCAGACAGAGAGAGTGAGTTGATATGAGCTAGGTATAAAAAAAAGTCAAGTACAAAATAAACTATACCTAGAAAAATTTAGCAAGTCTTCAATGTATTTTATCCACATGTCTCTCAATGGTACAAAATCACTATATCTGTGCAAAAGAGAAATTATTAGTATTAATTTGTGCTCTGGTGCACAAAATAATGCATCATCTATTATTATAAACTTGTGACCTATTGTGACAAAAAAATAAAAATGTATTGTTGTTTCCAAATCTTGAGATATCTTTATTTTATTCACTATGGTAACATTTCTATAATTGTATCTATTTCATATATATATGTTTTAATTTTTATTAATGAGAGTACCCTTTGAAATATCATTTTGAGGAAATGAAAATAGTATCCCTTTATAATGGTATAATGTTTCAGCCACCTTTAATGTTCAGCATTACATTTATTACCAATGCAAATCATGTGGTGTCCTATGGTAACTGGAGTAAGTTCACCCTTTTGAGGTGTTCCAATAAAGCTTAATGATGGGGATTAATTATTGGGGTGTATGGGGTACCTCTAGTGGACAGGCAGTGGTAACCTATACTGAGGAAGCTTGGATCACTCTTGGTCCAAACTCAGTACCCAACTCTCACTTATGGCTCCCAGTGGCTGTAACATGCACAGCAGCCACTGGTCAACTAAACCAGGTAGAGTGTATCTGACATGTCCATGACACTCAGTACACTGAGATTCTGTCAAATCTAGCATATGAATTCTGGACTTAGCAGCCTGTATGCGTGTACATTTATGAAAGGCTAAACATCTATAAGATTGTAGTGTTAATATGTCCTTACAATATACATAATAGCGAAAGCTCTCACAATATAGTAAGCTCATAAGAATTCATGATAGAAATCTTAAAATTTACCCTAAAAAAAAATTTTTACACTCGTTTTGTAATTTTACAACTTTTTCTCAACATAGTGCCAGCAATAAAAGCTACTTTTTACTAACTGGATCACATAATTTTTTTTAAAACTTACTTTGCTACAGTTGGCAATAAAAACAATCTCCTCTTTCTTCTTTTCTCTAATCTTGCCAAATAATGTTGTTTTTTTTGCTCCTTTGTTTTGAGCTTTCGACGCTTTCTCTTCTTTCCACTCTGAATACTTTCAAACTTTGAGCTCAAGTCACTGTCAGGCTGCAATTTTTCAGCTGGTAGATTTGTATTTGTGAACGATGAGAACCAACTTGATTTTGCTTCTTTACCCTAGATTGAAAAAAAAAAAACAATATATATAGTCATTACCATTATTGGAGAATTAAGCTGCACAAGCATTGTGAAATTTAATTAAGGAAATGTGTCTTGAAAAGGTTTCAAATATATATCACAAGCTTTGAAAGCTAAAATCTATTTGAATGCACATCTAAGACTTAGTTGTTCAATTTGTAAATTACTCTAAATACTCAAAGTAAAAAAAAGTAAAGTTCCCTTTTCAGATCTTGTGATCTATATGGCAGATGATGTAAAGGACTTCGGTTTCTGTGGCCAGCAGAACAACCAACCACATTTACTTTCCCCAACTAATGTCAGGTATCCATTTGAGCTTGGTGGACTAAGAGGAGCATTAAACATTACCAGGTCTATTCTCAGAACTAAAGCAATATTCATTCTAGATCTAGTTCTTGTATGATTTTTCAAGATAGTTATAACATGCACACTCTTTTACAAAATATATCACAATGAAGCTTTAAGCTCATAGACTTGGATTTAGCCCAAAACTAAGTATCATACCTAATCTAAACTAGGGGTGCACCGGATAGTAGCTCCAGCTCCAGCCGAATATCCTGCCATTTTTCAACTGAGGCCA